TGGGTCATGATTGACATATAATGATATTTTACACAATTTCAATTATAGTATTTGTTTCCTCTCACCTTTAATTTTACTTGGTCCATAAATACGTCTCCTGTACATTACTGATTACACTAACAGCTCTATATGCTATTAGAGAAAATGTTGGATTTTCTGTTTCTGTTGAACTATGGAGTATTATTGGCAAGTTGTATGATGAATGATAATAAATGGGTGAATTGGCTTGTCTAAATTTAGTGCCTAATTTCCTAATCAATATATGATGATATTCAAACAATTCACTACTATCACTGATGCAAAGTTCATCTAGGTCATTATAGACACTTCAGTCTTATCAGGGACCATGTTTCTCTATGGACACTGCAGAGTGTAACCCATCCCGCTCTGTAGCTAAACAGTACTTGGCAGAGCTGTCTAGGATCCCCAGCAGACTAGTGTGACCATTGTTTTCTACATAGATAGCCCCACAAATGCTTAGTCACCACAGGGAGTCTAACAGCTAGTCTAATTTATCTCACTATTTGGCAATAGTAATACTAATGATGATGATGATGATGATAATAATAATAATAATAATAATAATAATAATAATAATAATAATAATAATAATAATAATAATAATGAAAATAAATAAATAATAATAATAATAATACCAGAATAACCTTTCCCACCCAACAGTGAACTATAACAGTGAACAATAAATGTAAAATGTTTCACATCAAATATCTTGTTACAGTATCTTCTCAATATATACTCAGAGTGGGTATGTACATGTATGTATGTATGTATATATGAGACTGTTTATATGTGTGTGTGTGTATATTCAGATATACAAGAAAACAGGATTATATGCATATACTGACAATTTAATGAATTCTAATGCACCAGAGCATACTTTAGATATGACAACGGCAGTTTTTATGAAGGAGAATACAATCTAAATACTTTAAATCATTACCATAAAATCAATATTATTTTCACCCAGGAGAAGAAACACTTTACTGTATAAGAAACCTCCAAAGAAAGCAATGTATTTTATATAAAAAGCATAGAACAATAATAGTCATTTTCCCTTCTAATTTGGCTACACAAATAATTCCAGCACCTTTTCACATGTGTCATCCAGTAACTTGGCAATTTGCTATCGGTAAAAAAAAAAACAAAAAAAAACATATAACTAAACAATAGCATATTTAATAACATTCACTAACAATATAAAAGAAAAAGAAAGAAAGAAAAAAAAAAAAAAATCATTTGCACTTGGATATGTGTGTGTGTGTGTGTGTGTGTGTGTGTGTGTGTGTGTGTGTGTGTGTGTGTGTGTGTGTGTGTGTGTGTGTGTGTGTGTGTGTGTGTGTGTGTGTGTGTGTGTGTGTGTGTGTGTGTGTGTGTGTGTGTGGAGGGGGGGCTGGCATGAGTGTGTGCGTGTGCGTGAGTGTGCGTGTGTGTATGCCTGTGTGTGTGTGTGTCTGTGTGTCTTTCTGTCTCTGTGTGTCTGTATGTGTCTGTCTGTGTCTACATCTGTGTGTGCATGTCCATGCATGGACATGTTTGTATGTACACTTTTGTGTGCGCATGTGTGTATTGTGTATATTCAGATATACAAGAAAACAGGATTATATGCATATACTGACAATTTAATGAATTCTAATGCACCAGAGCATACTTTAGATATGACAACGGCATTTTTTATGAAGGAGAATACAATCTAAATACTTTAAATCATTACCATAAAATCAATATTATTTTCACCCAGGAGAAGAAACACTTTACTGTATAAGAAACCTCCAAAGAAAGCAATGTATTTTATATAAAAAGCATAGAACAATAATAGTCATTTTCCCTTCTAATTTGGCTACACAAATAATTCCAGCACCTTTTCACATGTGTCATCCAGTAACTTGGCAATTTGCTATCGGTAAAAAAAAAAAAAAAACAAAAAAAAACATATAACTAAACAATAGCATATTTAATAACATTCACTAACAATATAAAAGAAAAAGAAAGAAAGAAAAAAAAAAAAAATCATTTGCACTTGGGATATGTGTGTGTGTGTGTGTGTGTGTGTGTGTGTTGTGTGTGTGTGTGTGTGTGTGTGTGTGTGTGTGTGTGTTGTGTGTGTGTGTGTGTGTGTGTGGTGTGTGTGTTGTGTGTGTGTGTGTGTGGTGTGTGTGGTGTGTGTGTGTGTGTGGAGGGGGGGCTGGCATGAGTGTGTGCGTGTGAGTGAGTGTGCGTGTGTGTATGCCTGTGTGTGTGTGTGTGTGTTGTGTGTGTGTGTGTCTGTGTGTCTTTCTGTCTCTGTGTGTCTGTATGTGTCTGTCTGTGTCTACATCTGTGTGTGCATGTCCATGCATGGACATGTTTGTATGTACACTTTTGTGTGCGCATGTGTGTATTGTGTATATTCAGATATACAAGAAAACAGGATTATATGCATATACTGACAATTTAATGAATTCTAATGCACCAGAGCATACTTTAGATATGACAACGGCATTTTTTATGAAGGAGAATACAATCTAAATACTTTAAATCA